GAAGCACGGCAAAGCGCTCGGAATAAGACCCTCTTAATTGCAATTGATCATGATCACCGGACGAGCGTAAGGTGGTCAAGATCAATTGTGAATTGCGAAAGGCGGCGATACACTGATAAGAGACGAGAGAGGCCAGAAAACGACGGGCGAGAGAGCGCAATGGCAGTCTCACAACGACACGGTCACTGGAGGCCGGCATGGGCCTATCGGGCGCCAATGGGCCTAAAACCTGAGCGCCTGCGTTTTGCTTGCTGTTTTTCAACTTTTAAAAGCGGTATAGCCTCTGACGTTGCCTGCATCGTGCACGGTTATGAGAACCTAGCCTTAGTTTATCGCGGAACGTGCCTTTAATTGTACTCTAAAGTATAAACACTTTTACTGACTTTTGCATGAAATTGGATATGGAGATCCAGAGAAAACTGAATCATCATCAAAGCATTGCAATACTTGTTGCAATGATGGTGCGCGCCTTTGATACGGTGAGAACGGTAACAAACTCATCCACTACTTAAAGATCCACTCGCCCGTTATCTAGTATAAAAACTCCACGTGTAACATGAGTAGGTCTGCTGCCGCATAGAATTTTACCAATCATTCACTCAAAGTTGCGTGGTAAGGTTGCCAGAAGCTTAAGACTCAACTCCGATAGGGCTTCTCTTCGCAAGGTATATATGTGCATGCAATGGATGCACGGTGGTGGTGCAGTTAATGTTCGCGCATTTATCGTTTGTGCGGTTGCGTGCTGCCTTACTCGGTTGCCTGGTCCTTCGATGATATTTCTTTTCCTCTTCGTGTATTTGTTGAATGCTCAAAATCAACTCAAAAATAGGGGTCTTATTTGTGACATGTCGGCTTTTCAATGATTTTTTTTCTGCTTTCTTCTTCACTTATCAGTCAGTCGCATAGTCGTATGCGAACACCTTATATCCAACATATAGTAGATGTCATCTCAGTCGGGGCTATCACAGACGAATTGCATGAGCCTACTCACGGCGCTTCCACCACAGGCTGCTTTCCTCCTAAATCGATCAGGAATCAGTTACCATTGGTAGAGCAAGGGAGCCAGAAACAGTGTGGTTCCCACTACTGACCCCGCCCCGACTATTTACCAACTAAATAAATTTCAGTATAGTGTAGTTCGCTGCGGACGGTTGGGCGTGTCAGGCGGGATGAGTTTGGCGCGGTGCCAAACCCGTTCTCCACCAGTTGTTAAAGCGAGCAAATGATATGACTGTATCATATCGTTCGTATTACTCGTTTTCTACCACTTTTTGTCGCATGCGCGCTTCAACAAGAAGGCAGAGAACGGCTTTGACGGCGTGACACACTCATACTGCCTGACACGCCCAACCGTCCGCAGCGAACTAAAGTGTATGTGCATCTGAGTGCATGGAAACTGTTCTATTGCGTTTCAGCACGCACTTGACTGTGGCAGAGACGCGTGTTGTTTCCTGGCTCTGAACTCTTCGCTGATTGTAATCGCTCGGGAGGGTCTGGCAGCTATATGGGGATCTGTCTACCTGGACGCGCATGGTGAAGAGGATCGAAATTTGCGAAGAGGTCAGTCGTAGCCTAATTCCAACTGTTTCCGTTATCGGATATTGACAGTTTAGGAAAGCCATTATTCCTGTCAACTAAACGAGTGGAATGCCTTCAAAGCGATTGGGCGGAACAGGAATGGGAAAGGACGGGTGCAGCGTGGTCAACTATGGCTGGTTTGCAACAACTTCTCAAGGATGCTCACCTGTACCGCTGAAGACACGACGAGCAAGTTTTGATTGTTTGGATGAGTAACCAAGGCTTTTAAATTTTGAACGAGTTACTATTGAGTTTTCTTCTTCTTCTTCGTTTAGGTTCTCTAATCGCTTTTGAAATGTTAACTTATAGATTGCTCGCATGAAATCGCATTTCACTCGTTTTCATTCGCAAGGTGTTGTTTTCAGAGGTAACTCTCGCCGTATTGCTTAATTAGAGTATTTTTATGTGCCTATAATAATTATATCTTATGCATTCTCCGGCTAGTTGTAGTCTTGGGCTGTATTATGTTTGCGTTCATTGCACCTTACCTGGTATTGTACCACAAAAGATTTATTTTACATTGAGCACTTGGTAGATTGTGTTGCAGTAGTTTCAGAACGGACTAGGTCCTCTCCAGTACGTTGCCTTCTGCGATGCAACAGCACGCCCCTATTCTCCTACTTATTCCGTTCTGTAAAGATTGCAAGTTGTTTGAACGCCTTTGAAGCGCATCATGTGTTGCCGCTCAGGATTACATGTATTTCTGGGAATTTTTTTCTTCTCAAACCCGGTATTTATTCAGATCATTTTAAGTTTGGTGGTTTACCAAAGTCGACGTGTGATCATAGTTGATAGGACGCTTCTGTCCAGCCGCATCCTTTGTATATAGGAGACGTTCCCCCGTTCTCATTTTTTCTTGTTGCTAGAGTTGTGTGCATATCTATGTTGCAGCAGTGTTACTCACCTGTTCGATGCAATAGTAAGTGATATTGTGCCACTCATGAGGCTTATTATGTACTGTGGGACTTTAATAGCAGCGCATCATTAAATGCTTCCAATATTTTTTGTAGAGTTCATTTTAGAAACTTTGACGTACTTAACATTGGCCTGCCTTCATAATGTGCGTCAGCATCCACCAGCGACCCAGCGTTTCGAGCCTGCGTCATCGCCTGTGTAAGCAGTGCGGTGAAAGCAGGGTCAGAAAAAGGTATATGGGTCGGGGAA